TCCAGTAAGGAGAAGTAATGTGGTCCAGCAGATTAAGAATGAGATAGGGATCTTGGGTTCTAATCCTTGTTTTCTCACTGACTCACTGTGTGTCCCTGGGCAAGTCCTTTCATTTGCCTCCCTTTATTTCCTTATTTGCAGAATGGATAGAATTGCTCCTCTCATAGTACTGTGACAAGGCCGTATGGGTTTATAAAGCAATTACCATGTTAAGTACTATTGCCCCCAGTCCATTGGGGGTCCTGAATGCCTCTAGCATGGGACTGAGAATCTTTACCTCTCATTTACTTCAATGGAAATTGAGGAGGATTAGCACTTGGCAGGAGGGAGTTTAGCTCTTCATAGAATCAGATCCACTAAGTTATTAAAACAGCCATATGGATTTACCGTATTGCATTCAGTACTAGCAGATTTACCAGGCATTGCTCAGATCCTTCACTCCAATTTTTGTTTTTCTTCATTTAAATCATTATTCTGAGGTGGGACTGGTTTGAGGCATTCAGTATGTAGGCTGCCCTGGGCAGAGAAGACAACCTCAAGTCCTCTCCCACCACAGCAGTTTGGGGCCAGGTAAGAAGCACCTCTCTATGACAGCTGCAGCTCTAGCTGGCATAGCTGGGGAGAGGTTCATGTCCTGTTGAGGGTGCAGGTCCAGATTCATCTGCTCTATGTGCTCCCCAGCCAGAGTGAGAAATGCAGTACACTGTGCACTTTCTCCTCACTCCCTGACAAAGGGCAAGGGCACCATTTCAGGAGAGCAGAGAGGGCAGCAGCCATGCGCACTGGGACACAGCTTCCCATTCCCCAGACTATCAAGGAGTGAGGGCAACATACTTGGATTGTGTGAATTACTCCTCTGCCCCCTCCTTTCACCGGCCAGGAGTGAGAGGCATGCATAGAATCTAAATAATTTCCCCTTACTCCCTGATAGTCCAGAGAACTGGAAGAAAAGCAAGCTGCATCCTGGTACACACCACTGCTGCCCCACCCACACGCACACACTCCTGAAATAGTACTCTTGACAAAGGGGAATAGCCAGCAATGTTCCCATATGAATTGGGGGAGGAGACTTCAGCCCCTGCACCTTCTTTAAACAGCACCTGGGTGATGAGAGGCTCAGGACTAGGACAGTCATGGAGGGTGGGGTGCACCTTTAGTCAACCTCTTTCACTTGCCTGGTGATTCCTTCTCTGTTCTATATGGTTTTGTGAGAAGCAATCCCATTCCAAGCTCATCTCATTTTCCTAGTACAGCCAAACCCTTACTTTGCTTTAAGTTAATATAAGAGGAAGCTGTCTGCCAAATTTGGTGGGCCTAGCTCTTACTATTTTGGAGTAGTTCACAAACAGATGGACGGACAAACTCACTCTCTCAAATATAAAGTAGATAATGAACGCCAAAGAACACAGGGCACTGTCAAAAACAGCAGACAACACTGAGCAGTTACAACTTCAGATCATTTTAAGCTGATCCATGGAAATGCACAAAGGACTCATTCCTGCATTCTTTACTCAAGCAAAAGCTCCCATTCACATCAACAGGAGGTTTTACCTTGCAATGAAGTATATAGTACAGGGTCCACATCTTGTCAAGTATCAGGGTATGTCTACACTACAAAGTTAGTTCGAACTAACTTCAATAGGTGCTACACTAGCGCTCCGCTAGTTCGAATTTGAATCGAACTAGCGGAGCGCTTAGTTCGAACTAGGTAAACCTCATTTTACGAGGACTAACGCCTAGTTCGAACTAGCTAGTTCGAACTAGGCGTTAGTCCTCGTAAAATGAGGTTTACCTAGTTCGAACTAAGCGCTCCGCTAGTTCGATTCAAATTCGAACTAGCGGAGCGCTAGTGTAGCACCTATTAAAGTTACGTTAGTTCGAACTAACTTTGTAGTGTAGACATACCCAGAGAGATATATTTAGACATTTACTTTTGAAAATTTAAGAAGACCACATGGCTATGTCTACACAGCAGTGTTATTTCGGAATAACGTAAGTTAGTCCAAAATAACAAAGAGCGTGTCTACACTGCAAGCAACACTCTTTTTTTGTGTGTGTGTGGAAGAACAAACCCACCCAGGAGCAGGTGTGCATGAAAATCAAGGGGGTCCACTGAGACCCCCGACCCTGAGCCCTGAGCTTACAATGGCCGTCCTGGGTCAGACCAAAGGTCCATCTAGCCCATAGCCTGTCTGCCGACAGCGGCCAACCCTATGGACCCTGGAGGGGATGGACCGAAGACAGTGACCAAGCCATTTGTCTCGTGCCATCCCTCTCCAGCCTTCCACAAACTTTGGGCAGGGACACCACTCCTACCCTCTGGCTAATAGGACTCCATGGACCCAACCTCCATGACTTGATCTCACTTCCCTTTAAACTCTGTTCTAGTTGTAGCCTTCACAGCCTCCTGCAGCAAGGAGTTCCACAGGTTAACTATTTGCTTTGTCAAGAACAACTTTCTCTTACTAGTTTCAAGCCTGCTACCCATTCCTTTCCTTTGGTGTCCTCTAGTCCTTCTTTATGGGAACTCAGGAAGAACTTTTCTGAATGCACCCTCTCCACCCAACCCCTGCTTTTAGAGACCTCTATCCTGTCCCCCCTCCGTCTCCTCTTTTCTAAGCTGAACAGTCCCAGTCTCTGTAGCCTCTCTTCATCTGGGACCTGTTCCCAACCCCTGATCATGTTAGTTGCCCTCCCCTCTCCCAGCCTTTCTCTTCCCCTCTCCCACCTCCTTTTCCCAGTCTCCCCCAGTTTTGTTCAATAAAGACAGAGTCAATGTTGGGAGAAATGTTATCTTTATTTTGTACATCAATAAGAAGGGGGGCTAGGGAAGGGTAAGTGGAAGGAGGTGAGGGAGGAATGGGGTACGAGCCCCCGATGGGGAGGACTGGGCTGGCTCTGCGGGCTTCTGGGGGTGGAAGCTCTCCTGCAGCCCCCCAATTACTCCCTCTCCCCAGATGGCAGCCTGCGGCAAGTGCAGCCAGGCTGATGGCCGAGTGGTGTGATGTGCCCAGTGTGGGCACTCAGGGCACTCCAAGCCAGAACTTCTTTGCAAGTGGGGCACCCCTTAGAACTGTGTGTCCGGGGTGGGGGTCGGGACCCTTTAAGCGCAGCCCTCGGCTAGCCTGAGACAGCATCTCCATGCTCTAAGTCCTCCTTTTATGCCCTGCACTGCTTCTGGCCATCCTTAAGCCCTGTTCAGAGTCCACTCAATGTGGACTTGCTAGTTCGAACTAGCAAAACGCTAGTTCGAACTAGTTTTTAGTTCTAGATGCGTTAGTTCGAACTAGCTTAGTTCGAATTAACTAATTCGAACTAAGTTAGTTCGAACTAGCGCTGTAGTGTAGACGTACCCTCAGAGGGGTAGCCGTGTTAGTCTGAATCTGCAAAAGCGGCGAGGAGTCCTGTGGCACCTTATAGACTAACTGAAGTGTAGGAGCATAAGCTTTTGTGGGCAAAGACCCACTTCATCAGATGCATGTCCACATCTTGTAGCTGTTTGAGTGATAAATATCACAAAACAGTTAATAACATCTATCTGGGGCATCCTTGAATAATCCTGCTCACTCAAGGCAGGCAGAATGTTTTGCCACATCACTATGATATAACCAATGTCATGAACTGTAGCCACCAAAAGAAAAAACCCTATTACATTTGAAACTAGGGTGACCAGTGCTGTAAGTGTTGCTTGTGCCTGGCTGCAGGAGGAACTCCACTCATTGCCTCTGTGGAGGTACTACAGCTGTGTCCACTAAATCCTCTGTGTTTTTGACACCTCCAGTGCAGGGTCCACTGAGAGGGTGAATGAAAGTTAGCAGTTTCTATTGGCTTTGCCTCCTCCAGACCTATTTCCACCCCCTTTTCCGTCCCCTCCCTGCCCCAAGCCAGTTGTGAGGCTCTGGGGAGAATACAATGGAGAAACAGAGAAAATGGTTAATTTTACGGAGAGCAGTAGAGGAGAGATTTGATGAATCAGAGATAACAGGGTGAGCCACGCTGATTGAGTTGATGAAAGGATGAGTCTAGGATTCAGTCGGGAGAAAAGAGAACGGCAGGGTGGTATGGTGTGTGAGAGAATGTATATTGTGCAAAAACAAGCGGGTGGGTGTGGTTGTCTGGGTATGTTACACATGTTGCTGTTTATCAGAGCAAACTAGCAGAATTTTGTCAGGATCATAAGTTTTCTTAACAAATTGGCAAGGGTGATCTTATTATGTATAAAGTAAGGATGTTAAGGACTAGTCGGTTAGCCAATAAGCAAATGCTTATTGGATAGTCAAGTCAACTAGTCGCTTCCCCCCCTTGTGGGGGAGACGGGATACTTCAAAGCGACAGTGCCACACGGAGCCTGGGGTACGGCTCGTTTCATGGAGTCCGGGGGACGGCCTCGGCATTTCAAAGCAGCAGCAGCACACAGAGGCCGGGATCAGTTGGGGAGTCACCAGCTGACCCCAAGTTCTGCAGAAATGCTGAGTGAAGCTTGGGATCAGTTGGCGAGTCCCCAGCTGACCCTGGCTCTGTGCAGCTTTTCAAAGCAGCAGCGCCGCATGGAGCCCCGGGTCAGCGGGGGACTCTGAGTCCCTGCTGGCCCAGGCTCCATGCAGACACTTCTGCTTTGAAATGCACAAGATCTCCCGCTGGGCTCTTGTACATTTCAAAGCAGAAGTGCCCGTGTGGAGCCCGGAGTCAGCAGGACTTCCCGCTGCCCCCAGGCTGCATGCGGAGTTCCAACTGGGGCTCCTGTACATTTCAAAGGAGGAATGCGGAAGTGCCTATTGACTAGTTGAGTAGATTAATTGATATTTAACATCCTTAGTATAAAGTACCCATCACTGTAGTCAGGTAGTGTGCAGACATTCAAGTGTTGTTTAAACAAAATCTAACAGGATGGGTACAGAAGAAATTGAGGACATTTTAAGACCATATGTGTTGACTTGCTCTCTATTTTGATTTCCAATTAAAAAATGAAAATGATTAGATGTTTACATATGTTTTGGCAGGCCTTAACACAGAATCTTCGGGAGATTATCTATCAACTACAGAAACAACAACGAGACTAGTGACATCTACAGAATATTTAGCAGAAGCAGGTGACAATGATGTGAAACCTGTCAGCACACCAACAGAGGCTGAGATTAATTCTGAAACAGAAAATAATACAAGTATTGAGTTAAATTATATGACTAATGACACCACCACTGAACTGGCAGGGGCACAGCCTGCCTTAATGTTTTGCATTCTGCTAATTCTGCTGATCATCTTCTTTGTGATATGTCATAAAAGGAAAAAGTCTAAGCAAGGTAAAATTTAGTGCTTCTTCTCAAATTTTAGAAGAAACTTTTTAGAAAATACTGAACATGAACAGGAAAGGATTTCAGGAAATGGATTTCAATTATTGTGATGCATTTTTGTATGGATACTTGAATTTTCATATGCAGAAAAGACATGTATTCTGAACCTGTGGAGTCTTGTTTTCCTTACTGAATTCAAGCACAGCATGTATAGTGTATCCAATAGTTAAGAGCCAACAGAACTATTTGATCATAAATGTTTTTTCTTGTTTTGTTCTTAGGTTGAACATTGAGGGTACTTCTCTAATAAACAATTTACTTCTTTCGTTACTGACATTACTAACTACCTGAAATTACAAGTAAAATTTTGATGAGAGAATTTATCTAGCACTTCAAAGGAAGCTGTCCTAGAGATCTTGTAGTGTGATTGCTATTATGAAACCACTTGTTCAGTTCAAATTGCCTTGAGAATCATGTGATCAGGGTAACTGCATTCTGCAATAAAGACATATCATTTCAGGAAGCTACCTACAGCCAACCTCAATAACTTTGCTGTGTGGAAAAATAGGAACAGAGAAAGGGCCTTAAAGATTTACAGTGATGTAGGAACTTTTGAAGGAGGTGTACTGATATTCTGGAATATTTTGGGCCGTTAAAAGTATAAATGCGAATACAATTATTAAATCATAAATAGACATTTAGGGGCAAACTTGCAGTGTGACTCTGAAAATGCCCATGGTTTACTGTTGGGTACATCACTGATCTACACCAAATGGATATGGAAGTTTCTGCCTGATTGCTCATATGTGTGTGTAGGGGATTTTCATATAAATATGTGGGTATAGTTTCAGAAATTAGATCCTATTAGAGAGAACTCAAGAACAGAAAGATGGTGTGGTATAGTGGGCCACTATACAGAGAACTAACTTCTTCTGCACAGGTCTCAAAAATTTTTATGAGTTCTAGAATATAATAAAAAGAACGAAGGGCTGGATGTAATGTCTACATTGTACAAGTATTTCCTGGTTCAAATCAGCTCATTGTAAATTCAGCCCAGCCAGAAGACACCATAGCCTCCAACCTACTCCAGCGCACTGCACTCATCTTGATTCTCTGCCAACGAGTCATGTCAGGAGCAGAGAGTAGGCTAAGACACCCAAGATACTGCTTCCTAGTAAAAGGAAAAAGTGAGCAGGAACCCAGAAATATGCTTTAACAATCTTTTAATACATCTATTTATATGCACATTTCCCTTTTGTTCGTCTCATGGTTTCCAGAATTCGTTAATATTTCATCCTACCCTCAATCCTCTTTCATTTTCCTTCTGTCGTGTGGCATCTCATCCAGCTTCCCTGACAGTTGTTCCTTTGGTCTGTAATTTAGCACACTGAGATTTCAACTACCATTCAAGCTTCTTCACCTTTTCCTCCAATGTGGAAACCAGCTCCTAAGATCTTCATTCATAAATAGCTGCACTGCACATTGACTATCTCAAAACTTGCAATAAACCATTATCTATAACAGTTGATACTTTTTCAGGATGTCACTTTCCTTCTTGGAATCTGTTAGGTTCAAGGAACTCTGCTTTTGTATTCTGGATTTTAACTCCCACTGCACTGATTCGTATCCTAGGTTTACTTCAGCTACTGATGCTCAAGCCAAACAGCTCACTCTGGTGCTGGATGTCTAAAGCAGTCATTATGTATGTTAATAACCAGCAAGAGTTGCTGGTGGTCAGCTACTCTTAGTGTCTGAGAGAAAATTACTGATTAAAAGCAGTCAGCACCTATGTAAATCATAGGCCTACACAGTTAATGGAAGAAAATGTAAAACTTAATCTAAATTACAACCAGCTATATACTGAAAATTGTTATGTGTTTAACAGAAACCAACTGCAGAATTTTCTCAGCTATTTTGAATATTATATTGAGAGAAAATATATAATTAAAGACAAGTTTTAAACCACTTCAACTCTAACTTATTTTATTTCAGATGAACTGGAAAGTGAAAATGTCAAAAGGTAACATTTATAGACATTGTTTATTGTTTTTGCTTTTTTGCTAAAGTAGACCATGTTCATTTTTAGGGCCTTATTTTTCTGATTTTAAATTTATTGTATGTTCTGCATGTCTTGAGGAGTTTATATTTTGCATTATCAGCACTCTTACCCTTTCTCATTAATTAACCCTAGAAGAGGCTTAAGAACCCCAGGTCCTACCAAATAATCACCATTGCTGTATTTTGTGGTTGATATATTGTAGGATACAGTACCTCCTGCTAACATGTGCAGACTCTCTTGTTGACAACTATAGTACATTTGGCTGTTATTGTGGGACTTCTGATCCTTTAGCACATAGACTGCAGGAAGCAGAAGGAGGTGGTACCAATCAATAAATACAGACTTCTGCTAGAATTATTTCAGCCACACAGGCAGAGTATGGGTTTCACTGGTGCTCTGTGGCCTTTAATTCAGTCTTCTGCCTACAGCCCCACCAGTTGTTTTGGGCAGAAGTAACAAATGATTGCTTATTGTAAATATGGATGCCGCAGGAGACAATTATACTTTGGGTAACAAAGACAGGGTTCCTGGCTCTGTCCATATATTCAGTCTGCTTAGAATAAGCTTTGTCATGTTGAATTATTTTTCAGACTTGTTTGCTTATTATTACATGGCATGTAAAAATTCTCTGGCGCTTGTGTGAACTGAATAACTCATGTCCAATAAAAACAAGCTGGCTGCAGGGTAGTTTTCATCAATTTGATAGTTATTACCTTATTTATTTTACTGAGATCCCTCCTAATGCTAACGTGCTAAGTGTTCAAGGTTATTAACATAGATTTATGGAGAGTGGGGAAGATTCCCTTTAATTCAAGCTAAAAATACAAAATAAAGTTAGCAGTAATCTTTCAGCCATGAGGCAGTATCTAAAAATGGTCTGTAAAAGAAAGAGTAAAATTAGTAACATTAAATGAGTATGGTTATGACCTTTCTTTTTAGGCATCACTGAAATCAGCCTTCTTGTTGAAATAACATTTCTAACTTGGGGCTTTATCTTGCTTCCATTGACAACATGAGATTTTCACCATGAATTTTAAGGGGCAGGATCAGACCTTTTATTTTCTAATTTTCTATCTATAGTGTTTGTTCTATTTGGGCCCAGGATCATTTGCTTCTAACTTCTAGGGCTGATGCATCTTCAAAAAAACAAACTCACTAGACCAGCACTGGTGTGCCACAATTAAGGCCCAGAATTGCACAAGGTTGATACAAAGTTCCTATGTTATGTATCTGTTTGAGTGAAACACATTGTCTAACCCATCTTTTGTTTCCTGCATTAAGTCCTATTTTTGAAGAAGATACACCCTCTGTTATGGAAGTAGAAATGGAAGAGCTCGATAAATGGATGAACAACATGAACAAAAATGGTACATGGTAACTCCCCACATCATTTCTTTCTCTCTTTCTCTCTCTGTCTCTGTGGTACTTTCCATAAATAGAAAAATCATCACGAAGCTATTTTATGGTTGTGTTGCTAATTTTCTTAAAACATTTTTAGTCCTGGTCTTAAGCCTATAATACTAGAATAGTTGCACAAGCAAATGCCAAAGGTTTTAGTTTTCAGCAGAAGCTTTTATTAAATTAATGCCATGTATTTACATTTTTAAATTAAAATTGTTTTTAGGGGTGCATACTTGTCTCTCTAAAATATCAGGCTCTTTCAGAGTGTCTGCACTAGTGTGCTGCATTCCATATTGTGCCATCCAAGAGAAATCACTGGTTTTGTATAGCCCATAGCACTATTTGCTCATTACACAGCTTACAGAATCATCTTCCTGGCTCATCACTATGACTATATCACTCTACCCTTTGCATCCTTCCACTGGCTCCTTATTATCTACTGAATCAAACACAAGCACCTTCATTTGGGCCCTTATTTGTACTCACCTAATCTGTCAAAAATACTGCTTCTCTGTCTGTCTGACATCACCTTTACTCTGACATGAAAGGCAGCCTCAATGTCTCAGTGATCCACTTTTCCCTAAAGCACCACTATGCTCTCTCCCTGGTTGTCCCTAATTCATAAAAAGAGCTCCCATTCAAAATTCTCAATTCTTTAGCCACCTTCATGTCAAGTCTCAGAACTCACCTCTTCCTTAATATATAGCATTAATGGCAATCTGATTTCAGCTACACAGGTGGCACTTTGGGATTACTGCTTCAGATTGCCTAAGAACTGCACATATTCTAATATTTTTCTTGCCCATCCCTCGCCTCATACCCCAAAAGACTTATTTGTTTCATCAACCTGTTATATATTATCTTCCAGATGGTAAGCTCTTTTGGGAGACACCTATCGTTTTTATAGGTTTGTACAGTGTTCAGTAGGATGGTCCCGACCTGATTAGTGTATAGGCACTACTACAATATAAACATTAAATAATAGCAATACTATGTCGATGGCTTTCAATACAGTAGATGGAGAAATGTTTATTGCAAATAAATAAATGTTTAAAGTCAGCAAACATTTCATATATTTCTTTAGAAACAACACCACATACAAAAATACCCCAAAATGCTGGCTGTACCAATCTTGTGAAACAATAGATATAATTGTAAGCAGCTGTACAGTAAATATCTAACAAATAGCTCTTTTAGTCTGAGTTTGTTAAAAATGCATGCAGGCAAGGAAAAGCACTTTCTATGTATACACACACACACACACAAACACACAACTGGAATAAAAAAAATAAAAGATTATGAAGACTTCCATTACAGCCACAAGGGCAGAATACTTTAAAATAGATAATAAATTATATGAAATAAAACAAATGTACAAATATTACAGATAAAAAGAACTCTGCTTGTACCCTGGAGTTTTGTGTTTCACAGTATCTATTCTGAAAATGAATACATTTCAATATTTCTGAAAGAATTACGCAGGAAT